AGCTGCTTTCAACTACCTGAAGAGGGGTTCCAAAGAGGATGGAGCTTGGCTGTTCTCAGTGGTGGCAGATGACAGAACAAGGAGCAATGGTCTCACGTTGCAGTGGGGGAAGTCTATGTTGGATATTAGGAAACACTATTTCACTAGGAGGGTGGTGAAGCACTGGAATGCGTTACCTAGGGAGGTGATGGAATCTCCTTCCTTGGAGGTTTTTAAGGCTCGGCTCGACAAAGCCCTGGCTGGGATGATTTAGCTGGGAATTGGTCCTGCTTTGAGCAGGGGGTTGGACTAGATGACCTCCTGAGGTCCCTTACAACCCTGATATTCTATGATTCTATGATATCTGAATGCAGAGCTGCAAGCAGCATTATGGGCATGTTGAGGCAATACAGGCACAGAATCAGTGAAGCATGTGATCTGGTCTGGAGGAGCTCTGACCATCTGGTCAATCCAGAGGTTTACAGCTGAGGCAGCCAGACCCCCCAGAGATTTCTTTTGATGCACCCATCCCAAGCCTATCAGAGAGCAGGAGCCTTCTCCCACTTCTAGGGAGCCTAACATTTAATTCTGGAGGACTAAAAACTATGGATAAAACTTCACAGTACAGTTACACTAGGGAGACAGGACAGTTTAACAACACTTCAGGAAATACAGGCCTGCTAACAGGGGCCTGATCCTGCCTCACACAAATAGCCCTTCCTACTAAATAATTAATTACTAAGTAAAGCTGTGTCCCCTTTACTTCCCGGAGACTAATCACATGACGACAGTATTACAGGATCAGATTCTAGCAGCATTCTCACACCAGAATTCATAAAAGAATAATCTTGATGATTTACAGTGTTTTGCCTAGAAAACAATATACCCTTCCTACAAAATACTTGTCTACCTTACCTTCAGAAACATGAAAAATATGGACATGATTGATTAGTAATTGTGACTGTAATTTATCCTTCTCCTCTCTTTCCCGCCCCCTTCCCTTTCTGTTCCCCTACCCGCGATCTGTTTGTTATGCCCACTTGTAGTGCCTTGTCTTCTCCTAGGTCACTGTTCCCTTGGCACACAGTAGGATGTTCAGGGGAATGGGGCGGAAGGGTGTCAAGTGGCTTAGAAGGACGCACAGCTGGGCTGGTCCTGAGAGAGGACAGAACAGACAGAGGTGGGGATGAAATGAAAAGCAAAAACAGAGCAAGTGTGATTAACTTTTGTTCAGTAAAGGACAAAACACGTATCACATTGGAAAGACATTAAAATAAATAACAGGACAATCTTGAGTGGGAGGGTCAAAGTGTGCTAAGGAAATTTAGTGTGCAGCAGCAGGTCCCACACAGCCAGTTGGGTGCTCGGTTCCCCAACTCACTGTACATTAAGCCCTAAGTAAGAACTGTAGCATTTGTAGTACCTGCACAGAGCCATAGTTTAGACAGGCTACTAGGGGGCCATACGTGAGCTGCATACAAGTTCTCAGCTAGCAGGAAATGAAGGTCACTAGGTCACTTACCCTAGTGTCCCAAGTCTCTGCACATTCAACAATCACCCCACTGTCCCCAGGAGACAATTTAAGGAAGAGAACATTTGGGCAAATCCAGCACCTTTCTCAATGGCCACAGAGCAACCCTTTATTCCTCTGTGCAGGGGTAGTGAGATGTGTGAGATGCTCTGCAGAGGGTGGGTCTCTCTCTCTCTCTCTCTCTCTCACCATTAGCATTAGGATGAATTAGTTTCTGTGAAGAAACTCCACCGTCGCTCTCTGCCCTGGGTGAGGAGGAGTCCTCCACCTTGTGCATCAGCCCAGCACCTGGCCTACTTACTGGGTGGGGGCAGAGACAAGGGTTTGCCACACGGTTAGTTTAGTGTTTTCATGGAGTTGATTCTTTAGATGTTTACTATGATTTGCAGCTCAGAGATACATTTCAAACAGAATATAGAGTTTACCAGGCAATGTGCAGAAATGCATTGCTGCCAAACTCCTGGTATAGCAGCAGTAACAAAAGGGCTGTAAGAGAGGAGTTTGCTTACGATATGGTCTTTAGTTTACAGTTTGGATCCTTCAGTCCTTGCAACAATGCGTATGCAGCTGAAGTTCTTGGATCTTTCATCAGTGGGTTCCTAGAAGAGAGAATGCGAGTTTTAAATATCATTTCCTAAATGCAGATTTCCCATCGCTTTTCCCGAAGATGATGGGGTAGGTTTTATTCCACAGCAGACATTTATTATCCTCTTTAAAAAGAAAACAAAGGGAAGCATATGAAGACTCCACAGTCCATTGTTCTGGTGTCATGTTAGTTATTCATGCCTAAGAGTGGCGTAACCCACAATAATCCTGTGTAGCATTTGCTCCATCTAGTGGCCCGACCATATAAAAGAGGGTTATGGGTGAGCTGCTTCTTTCAGTGAAAATCCTGCTATGCCTTTTCAGTTTGGCAAGGGAGAAGGAATATATCCCAGAAGAATGGGAAAGAGGGTTCTTAATCAAACCCCCTTACAAAGAAGATTTGAGTGATTGTGACAAATGGCACAAGAATACACTTCTTTCAGGCCCAGGGAAAGTTTTCTGTGCAATCATCCTAAATCAGAATTAACTAAAAGTGTGAATTTGAAGTGGCTAAATTAAACCACATTAAATCCCTGTGTGGACACTGTTATTCAGAATTTAAATGGCTTTTGGAAGTGAATTAAACTAAACCTAATTAAGGCCACTTTAATTCTGCATAGCAGCATCCCCGCAGGGATTTAACATAGTATAATTAATCCACTTCAAATTTATGTCTTTAGTTCATTCAAATTAACTTTCCTGGATGTCTTCCTGTAGACAAGCTTTAAAAGCCATATATAGCAGATTTAGAGAACGGTAAGCTGGTTTTTGGCCAGGTAGAAATTGTGTAGACCGTAGAACAGGGGTGGCCAACCTGTGGCTCCGGAGCCACATGCGGCTCTTCAGAAGTTAATATGAGGCTCCTTGTATAGGCACCGACTCTGGGGCTGGAGCTTCAGATGCCAACTTTCCAATGTGCAGGGGGGTGCTCACTGCTCAACCCCTGGCTCTGCCACAATCTCTGCCCCCACTCCATCCCTTCCCCTGAGCCTACTGGGACCTCGCTCCTCCCCCTCTGAGCCTCCTGCACGCCACAAAACAGCTGATTGGGAGGTGTGGGGAGGGAGGGGGAGGCGCTAATTGGAGGGGCTGCCAGTGGGCGGGAGGCACTGGGAGCAGGGGGTGAGGGTGATGGAGGGCTGCTGACATATTACTGTAGCTTTTTGGCAATGTACATTGGTAAATTCTGGCCCCTTCTCAGGCTCAGGTTGGCCACCCCTGCTTTAGAACCAAATAATAAATGGCAGTTGCCATTAGGCTTGAGTATTGTTCCCAAAAGACATTTGACAGTGTAAATAGGGAACCCAAGTGACAGACAAAATCATTCAAATTATTATAAATTTGTGTCAGAATGCTCTGTGCACAATAAAGATAAACCAAGAGTTAGCAGACTGGTTTAATGTTAATTCTGGTGTCAGGCAAGGTTGTATCTTGTGCCTCTTTTTTTTTTGGAGTTGCTATTGACTTTGACTGACTGTCAGTACGGAAATAGGCAGTGTGTGGATACATGGGGAGCTTGGAGACCTTGACTTTGCAGGTGACATTTTTCTTATAAATAAATGAGTTGAAGATATGCAGTGAAAGACAGGTCTTGCAAATTCTGCCAAGCAATTAGGTCTTATTATTAATCAGTTAAAAACAGAAGTTATCAAAATAAATGTATGTACCAATAGTTTTATCTATTTGAGAGATGAAGCCTTGAAAAACGGAATAAATGTACTTATCTTGGCAGCCTCATTCATGATAATGGTGATTGTGTTTCATGTAAAGCCCAGAATAGGTGAAGCGAGTGCTGTATTTCCATCAATACCAACAATATGGAAGTCCAATGTGATTAGCAAAATTATCAAAACTGAAATCCATCAATATGGAAGTCCATTCAATGGAAATTAAACAGAGTTCATTGCTAGTGTCTGAATAGACTATTCAACATAAAAGAGATGGACAGAATAAGTAGTGAACAGGTCCTAGAATGGGCACAGCTACCTACTGTACAACAATACAATATGGAAAAAGAGACACACTTGGGGCTTCTTTTAAGAATGTTCATAGGAGGCTTCCAAAATAAGCCTCTCTTTGTCGACTCCAGGGCAAGTGACAGAGAGACTGACCTAGAGGCACATTCTGTAGCTCAATAAAGACTGAAGTGGAATTATTACAGCTGAATATAAAAGACATGGAAAAGAAGCCCAGCACAGGGAGGATTGGCATTGTTCAATGTCTGCCTTCTGCCCTGATGGCATGGGAAGAATCATGAAGATGATGCTGATGCTTTCAGGCTAATGGACCTAATTTGGAGTCAAGGGGACTCATCTCTAGTGGCACAGAGATTTTGCAATCCCCTTCCACACACACAGCTGTTACCAGTAGCACTGGATGAAAAAAAGGGTAGACCTTTCCATGGAAAATTTCACTTTTTCAGACAATTTTTCGCCCCAAATCAGGATAAAACATCAAAACAACAGGCCTGTCCATCCCCCAAAGCTAGGTGAGAGGTGGGGATGCATTGCAGGTCTCTGCCCCAGAGCTAGGGGGTGGCAGAACAACCCTGCACACTGCCAAAGCAGCCCTCTGGGAAAGCTTTTGTTGATTTCACTAACAGAAAATGAAACTCACAAGAGCCTTTCAGGGAGGCAGCCACTTTATATTTCCTCAAAATAAAATCTTTTTTTTTTTTGACAAAACTAAAATCCCCATGGAAAATTTCAGTTTTACAAACAGAGCATTTTTCATCAGAAAAAAAACTTTTCTTCCAGATCTAGTTACCAGGACCCAGTGGGTGGGACACAGATTCCCATATACTACACTGATCCTTGTCTGTAGTTTTGGCCTCTTGGATCCATTAGCAGCTGGAGTGAGTTAATGCGCTATTTGGTGGATCTTTGGATCCTCAGGTCAGAGCAGCACTGGAAAGACCCTAAAGCTTTGTAGTAGTGACAGCAGCCTGTGAATTGCTCATTGCTGCCAGCACCTGCCCCTGACTCAGGAGTAGGATCTATGCAGGAGGAGACTATCCCAAATAATGCCCCTTTCCCATTGTCCCATAACTAAGATGAGGGAAGGGAGTGGGCAGGAGACATCTCGCAGTTGCGTGCTGCACACATTACAGAGAAGGAATTAAGGATACTGCCCAGCAGAGCCCATACACAGAGCGATTTCTCTCCTCTCCAGGAGGGAGAATGCAGAAGCACTACTGCCATCAGCAGCAAGGTGGAGCTGTATTGTAAGATGTTGACTAATGGCTGGGGAACACCCGTGACATGGCCAGTAACTGGGCAGTGCAGGAAACAGCATGGCTTGGCTTGTAGCCTTCGGGAAGATGCTAAGGCTAGTGGAGAGGGAACAAGGGTTGATTGCTTAAGGGCTTCAGGGAGCTAGCTTGGTGCCAGTGCAGAGTCCAGGAGCAGCAGGAGCTGAGCTACAGTCAGCTTCCATTTGAGAATCTTCTGAATTGTTTGTGGCTGTGAGGGACTGGGACGTAGGTGGTCTGGCCTAGTGGTCACAGCTGGGCTGAGATCTGCTCTCTAGGGACAGTAGTTGCTAGGCAGGAGTTGGATGAATCACAAGAGCCAGGTTCTGTAGGCAAGGGTCAGGGTCAGAATCAGGCTAGAGTCAGAGGCCGGAGATCAGGAGACCAAGCAAAGTCTGGCACTGCAGCAGGCCAAATTCTGTGTGGCAGCCCAGACAGCTTCCTGGGGCAACCCCTGGGGTTAAATAGTGCACTTGGCCAATCAGAGGGCCACACGGTACCTCACTCTGGATCTCTTGGGCAGTACTTCCTGCAGCACCTATTCTCCATAGAACTGAGCCTCTGCATGGCCTCCTGATGGCACTGTGGGAATATCAGTTGTCCCAGGCTCTGCAGACCCAGCTTCTAGCCCTTATACCTTTTCCTTTTGCTATTCAGGTGCTCAAGGACCTGGGCAGGTCTAACTCATTTGCTACTGTGACTAGGCTGTAGGACAGGACAGGTCACTTATATTGAGCTCTCTGGATCTCTAGGTAAACTGGTCCACACAAACACCATGCCTTTTGACAGGTCAAATGGAAGGAGTAAAGAATATGGGCATACTTATAATATGGAACTGTAGTTTTGAAAGCAGTGACTCTGAAAAGGACTTGGAGTTATGATGGAGAACCAATTGACCATGATCTCCCAGTGCAATGCTGCAGCTGAAAGGGCTAATGGGATCATTGGATGTATAAACAGGAGTATATATAATAGGAACAAGGAGGTTACATTTCTCCTCTATAAGCACTGGTAAAACTGGCAAAGCTAAAATGTTTGCTCCAGTTCTGGTGTCCAGCTCCTTCAATGCAGACAGGTACTTAGCTAAACACTCCAGCCCAGAGCAGCTAACTTCCTCATCCATCTATCTGATCCAAGCTAGTTTCCCAGGAAGCTAATTGGTCCCAGCTGTTTCTGGGTCCTTCTGCTTAACCCTCGCTTCCCTATTCCTGCCTAACCTTCAATCCTGAGGTTTTCTGACTCAGCTACCTCGACCCGACCAGGCCCAGAGGGACAGTTTAACCTCATTTTACAGGAAAAGACCAAGACAAATCTGCAAATATCTTATAATCCATTGAAAAAAAGGGGGCATTATAATGGTGATACGATGAGATGTCACTCTAAGGATTTACTGATTAATATTAAATAAAGGTGCCACAAATACTCCTGTTCTTTTTGCGGATACAGACTAACACGGCTGCTACTCTGAAACCTGTCATTAAATAAACTGTGATACTTACAGAGGAAATAACCATTTCCGTAGCTTTGCTATCCATCCTTCTTCTCGTTCTCCAATCCCAAGAGTACAATTACACAGGTAAAGTGACTGCTTACTACAACAGTTCTTTACACAAAATGAAAGAGCAATTTCATCCATTGTTGTAAGCCTGATGTGTTCCAATCTAATTTCTTGGAAATTATCCATTGCGCTTTTCACAAACTCTTCTTCCTGACTCTCATACAAACAGTGAAACAACTCAAACTGGTCACGTAGTTCCCCATAGGTCTTGTAAGGCAGAAGGGAGATGTTTTTAGCTTCTGCTTCAAACCACTTCAACAAATCCAGCTTTATTTTAGATGTTTTAAAATTTAACATTTTCTCTATGTCATTTCGTCTCTCTTTATTTAAGAGACCAAACAAGAAACGTACTGTTAACATCAAATAATTATTTTTAGATGGTCCATAAATTTTTAGCAAGTTGTTCACATCTTTCTTAGAAGACAAAGATTGTGTCATTGTCTCTTCATCTTCCTCTAGCACATAGAAGAGAGCTGCAAAAAACTCTTGGAAACTCAAGTGAATGAAGCTGTAGACACTTTCACATTCTGTATCTTTCTGAAAAATATTTTTATTCAGAAAGAGAGACTGAATCTTAGACAAAGATAAATTGTGTTTCTTCAGGTCACCTTCTTCAAACAGTATTTTTCGTTCTAAAATTCCATCTGCAGCCAACGAGCAAAGGTTCCACAGAGTAGTTTTAGGCTGCTGTATTGAGTCAACAAAATGATCAGTTAGCAGAGTGGACAGAAAGAGCAAATATACCGAGGTGGTTGTTTTTGAAGTTTGTGAAAGATCTTCCCTTTTTTCCATCTGTTGCTTCATAACCGTGCAGATGATCCAACACACAATGGGGACAAAGCACATGGTGAAGAGCATTTCATTTTCTTTGACAAAATTAAAGGCTTGTGTTGCTTTCTTTTCATCACAAAAGAATTTATAGAAATATTCTTTCCTTTCTTCTCCAGAAAATCCCATTATCTCTGCATAACATGGAAATTTCAAATTCTCCTTTAGTTTCTCCAGAGCAGTTGGTCTTGTAGTGATCAGTAAGAAGGATTTTTGAAGAACTTTCTTTCTCAATAAGCTGCGCAGTACAGTTTTCACTGGCTTCTTCTCAAATGGGTCAGTGCACAGTCTAACTTCAATGTCTAGCAAAGAACTCAATTCATCAAAACCATCTATTAGGAATAGGAGTTTTTCTGGCTTCTCGAAGATTTCTTTAATTGGTCCTTCTCCATTAGGACAATTGTCTAAAACCAAATCAGCAACACTTTGCTCTTCAGTAACATGATTTATCTTTCTACAATTTATATAGAAAACATAATCAAACTTTTTCTGATAGAGTTTTCCAGCTGCCCAGTCCAACATGATCTTTCTTGCGGTCATTGTTTTCCCAATTCCAGCAGCTCCCTGCAGCACAACAGTTTTTGGGTTTTGTTGATTTCTACTAGGGTCAAATAAAACATTAATCTTAGTGAGACTGGTCTGGTGAGCCATCAGTTCTGTGTGTTTCCTTCCTCTGGTGATTATTTCATGTTCTTTCTCCTCCCGCTGCCGATGTTCCTTTACAATAAGCAGTTCTGTGTATCTTTTGTCTAGACTTACATGTTCACCCATGCGAGCATTCTTATCTTCTATTACTTGGTATTCTTCTTGTATATGTTCTCTATATTTTTTCTGATAATCTAATTCAATGAAAATGGCATGAAGCATTAGACATACTGAGTACAGTTGTTCAAACAAAGGTCATTTGAACTGCCATTCATCGGTTATATCCAAAGGTTGGACAGGACAAGATATTGGTGACATTCTATTCTTTCTGGTCTCCCAGCATTCCCACCATCATGTGACTTGACATTTTGCTTGAATTTTACATATTAAAATTAGTCTCTTGTCTTTTATCGTTTAATTATTTTGTACATGATCATCTCTCACCTTGGTTCTGATTCAGCAATTCCCTTAAGCACAGATTGAAGTCCCCTTACAATAAATGAAATTTGAGCATGCGCTTAAAGTTAAGAATTTGCTCAAGTGCTTTTCTGAATAAGGATAATTTAGCTCATTCTTTTGTTGTTGTTGTTCCTTCTGATTTTTTCTTTTAGTTTTGTCTGATTTTTTCTATTCTCCTCCCTTTCTCCCCAGTAAGTACCGTTTGTCTTCTTTTGTTATTTCTAACTACTTCTCTTCTTGCTTCCTGGTTATGTTTTCTCTTCTCTCCTGTTTGCTAGCTCTTTTAATCCCTTTCTGTTTTTCTCACCTCTAGATACCCTTCTCTGCTTCACCCCCATTCCTTGATACTGCCACTCCAACCACTGAAGGACAGGATTTGGACACTGGTATTTAGTTGGGGCCCCATCTCTAATCCTGAGTAGTGCAGTATGGGAAGTAGAGTGACAGTGTTTCAGTGGACAGCTGACTTGCTTATGAAGGCCCTTTCTCCTCTATGGTCCAAGAACCCTAGCTTGACTTCATCATGGGAGATGTAGTCCAGAAAGGGAGCCTGGCCCATAGAGAAGAAAGGGGTCATTAGGCACATGAACTATGACTCAAATAGAGCATTCCAGCAGCATTTCAGAATGCTATGTTAAGAGTGTTAAAACATCCTTTAAAATGTTTTAAACCATGGGCACTATTAAACCAGTTTACAGGCTGCGTGCATAAGGCCAGACCATATGAGCACACTTCAGAAAAACAAAAATGTGTTCGAGCCTGAGTACAAGCAAATAGACCAACCAAAATGCATTAAATGATTTATCAGTGGACCATTTCTACAAATGGTCATCAGACATAATTCTTAATACAGTGCAAATTGACCCAATAAGTGCACAGCAAATGGCTTCTTCATAGGAAGGAGTCCTGCCTGTGTCAGTGTGGGATTTGTCCCTCTTTAATATTTTGGCCATAACAGTTGTGTACTTGTTCTTTCTTTGTAGCTCAGTACAGTCCTTTAATTACATTTATTGTTGTTCTCTGAGTTCCCCTTGTTTGAGATGTATCTTTCTATCATAATTGGACTAAGAGGTGGTTGCAGTATTCTAAATACAGTCTTACCAAAGCCTTTCAGAGACAAATTATCAACTCCCTGCTCCTTGGCGTGATGTATCTCTGCACAGGGTCCCAGATCCCCTTGTCTGTCATTCCCTCTTGTTTCTTCTTCAATTTTTGATGTTTTCACCTTTTCCTGTGGCGAAACTAACAAAGGAGATTAATTGCAATAATACCATCGCGTTTAAGGCCAGAAGGGAACCACCTGACCTCCATTCAATACCCCCCCAGCCCCTGAACACTAAACCCAACAACCAAAATGAGACCAAAGTATTACAGTCCACAGGAGACTAGATTATTATGTGTCCCAGGCAGAGGATAGGAGGGACCGAGATGCACCAGTGCCTGAGCCCCTCCACAATGGCAGGGAAATGATTAAGTGAGATCTACCCAGATAATCCTGGCTAGCAACCTGCACCCACACACTGCAAAGGAAAGGAGAGAAAAAACACAAGTCACTGCCAATCTGCCCTGCTGCTTTACATGCACAAGTTAGAAAATCCTATCCAGGGGTTTATCGTGGAATTACCACCTCACCCGTAACTACAGTGTCACTTACGCTATTGTTATAACAGGGCTAGATTGTACCTGCTGTTTATGGAGATGTGGAGGGAGAAAACATGGTTCTAATTGCACACCCTTGTAATTCCCACACAAGAATTGGGGATAATTGCAGTACCTGCTCTCAGAGGAGCATGGGAACTGTATCCTTGGGGAAACCCAGCACCCCAAAGGGGCAGTGAGAAGCAGAGAGGAGGTAGAGCCCTGACCCTGTTCCCCTCAACAGACTGCTGAGCAGGAGCAGCACACATGGGAGAATATTAGAGCTGGTTAGAAATTCTCCCTCCCCTGGGAAATTGTTGAGTTTTTGGTAGAAAAAACAAAACAAAACCTTGAAAGCCAAAAAGTTTCAGCTGAAAACCAAAATTTTGATTAAAAAAATGCTGCTGCAATGTGTTATGGGAATTGTGGTTTGTTCCCCCATGCTCCCATTCTCTTCTAGGGGCCAAGATCCCTAGCTTGACTTCATCTTCCATGATGCACCACGGTTTTCTCTCTTGCCGAGCCACCATGGAGCATCATCAGAGATACAGTCCAGAGAGGGAGCCCTGCCCATACAGAAGAAAGGGGTCATGAGACACCTGAACTATGACTCCCATACAGCACTCCAGCAGCATTTCACAACCAATTTTTTTCTGTTTTCATATGAAAAGTTTTTTCCCATAGAAAGCAGATAATTTTCACCAAAAAAAGAAAAAACCCTGTTTGACAAAAACCCAATTTTCTATTGACAATTTGCTGTACTCTGTTGGTCACACTTCCCATGCATGCCAGGGAGCTCATGAAGATTGTGGTTGCTGGGAATAAAGGACTGAATGTCTCTCTGATCATTGCTGGCCAGGAGCAAGGCTGACAAAAGTTTTCTGAGCCTAAAAGCATTTGTTCCAGTCTCTCCAAAGCATTTCTTTGATTCAAGAATTCACAAAACATTGGATATTCAAATGCCATTGTCACCTAATTTATCTATTACGTTTTTTCAATATTTTTGTTGTTACAATGATGTAAAAGGTCAAAGCTTCACAAATGTAAGCAATAGTTAATATTTGTCCCTTAGCAGTTTCCCTCTTCCAGCAAAATCAGAGTTCTCTGCTGCTGCTGCTGTCACCGCAAAGAATTCCTGTATCTCCATTCAAGAGGTGTCATGCTGGCCCAAGGAGGCCCAATGATGATGATGTTGCAAAAATCTCTGAGACGTGCCCTGTGCCCTCCCACCCTGTCCTGCCCCCCCATTCCCTGGCAGCACAGCTCCAGTGGAGTCACATTGTCCCAGGGTTCCCCCTGCATGGACAGGGCTAGATTGGACCTGGCATTTATGCAGGTGTGGAGGGAGGAGGCAGGGTCCTAATTGCTCTAATAAACAGCCCATACAGCCCCAGGTCAGTTAGTGACGTGTCCAATTGGACTTGGTGGGGAAAACACATTCCCTTCCACATCCCACCCTGGCCTTGCTCTGGCCTTACTCCTACTCCTCAGCTTTCTGCCCTAGCTCATCTCCCCCTCTCTATGGATCCCATGCCCATCACAAATGCAGCAGCATGCACAGAGCTGACCTCCGGGCTATGGGAAGGATTAGCCTGTAGGTACATCTCAAACAGATCCATGTAATTCTGTTGTTAAAGCACACTGGGTGTATTAAGGTCCCTTCAGCCTCCTGCTACAGAAATGCTGACAGCTGCTTCATCCTTTCACCCCTCGTGATGGGTTTGAGGTTTAAAGGCTGTCCTCATGGGAAAAAGTTTTAGAAACTACCACTAACAGGAACAAAAAGACATGAGATCTCCCTTTAGGGGCAGGTGCTTTGCTGTGCATCATATCTGCAGCCATAGCAGTTTCTGGCTGTTCTCCTCTCCCTCCCCTGAGATTGCAGCTCCCTGATTCTGAGGCTGGGGCTAGTTCTCAAATGGTCTGAGCTTGAGGGTTTTTCTAAATTACACCAGCCAGCTGTGATCCCGAGGGGTCAGTAGAGCTGCAGGAATTGTGCTCGTTCCACACCTGCTGTGCTAGGGACTGCACGAGATGGTGACACAGGAGCAGCCTCTGTGCTAGCTGGGGATTCCCCTTCCGCTTTCTGCTACACTTCTTGTGCCATCGCACCAGGCAAAGGAGTAGAACACAGAGGAGTCTGGTCCTGTACTGCCAGTGCCCCAGATCACTTGCTCTCACCCCCATTTCTCATTCTCAGTTTCTCCACTAAGATCCAATCTAAAACCAGTATCCATATAGCAACTTGTATGTTTCCAGAACATCTAATTTCACATGCACACTCGGAAAATCCTGTGGGCCTGCTTTGAATCACTCTGGCTCTCACTGGCTTTCCCTTGTGTCTTGGAACCTACTCGGTACTATTAACCGACTGCAGCTGTTCCTGCTTCTGCTGTATCTTTGTAGGGGGGTTGGTGGGAGGGGGAATATTGAAGAAGAGCTTCCCAGGAGTCATGGCAACTTTAGATTCTTTACCCATCTTTGTTTCCTCCATGACCTTAGCAGCAGACTGTCTCAGGTCGATCTGATTGAGGATTTCTGGGGTTACATCCATCACATGTTCCTCACAGCATTCTAACAGGTTTGAGGCACATCTAACACATTGGCTTTCTCTAGATCACCACGGGGGATGTTATGTTTTCCATCATCATCAGATTGTGAGATTAAAAGACTTAAATACAAACTGAGAGATTGCCCAGTCACTTCACAAGGACGTGCCTTCTTAACAGAGCTCATAGTCAACAACAAATAAATGCTTCCTGCATTGTGCTCTGGGGGATACTAAACTCATACCCTGGGGGACTATCCAGGGCAGTGAATGCCAACGGCCTCTAGGGAGAGCCCCACTGCCAGCCCTGGAGCGTTCCATCCCAGGGACCCCGGGCAGAATCAACCCAGCTGAGCTCCACTGTCACTGTGGGTGAGAGGAACAGGAGAGCACATGGGGTCTAACTAAAGAGTGGATCCCCATAGGCACTGGCTCTTACACTCATGTGGGACACTGAAAAGCAGCTGAGGGACTTTGGAACTGCAGCTCTCCAGGTTTGCTGGTCCTTGGCTGTTTGTATTACACTGGATTTGTTTTGCTTGTTTTCAGTGAAAAATAACCTCGAAGATAAAGTTCCTGCTTGGAATTCCAGAAGGGTCTCCTGGGGCCAGTCAGCTGTTTGGTGAGAAGCTACTGGGCCAGACTCTCTGCTGTGATCAGTTTCCAATTACTCATCCTTGATTCTATGTCCCAGGTGCAGCACAGGTTACAGCAGCCTGGGACCTGTTCTAACTTTCCAGCTCCCAATGGTCCCCAGAGGACAGTCCCCCAGCTGGGGATGCACTCTAGTTACTCCTCCTCCCCACCTCTGTCCATGACACTCCCTCTGCACCGCTTTGTTGGATCTACACCCACTGGGGATGCCCCCCAACTGGGGATTTCCTCAGATGGAGAGTTACAGGCTGACTCTGCTCCCCTTGTGCCAGCTGAGTGG